CACTTAATGTAAAAAAAATCTAGATTTGAGATTTTATTCAATAATAATAGATTCCAATGGAATCTTGAATTCTCTCCGTATTTCTTAGACTTCTGTGTATTGATAGCAAGCTTTTCCTACATATATAAAGATAATAAGGCTGGCTTGTCAGTACAGAAAGGCACGTCTGTTGGTGCTGTTTTAAGGTGATGGTAGATTTGCTCTGTTGGGTAGATGCTTCAAACCAGCTCCGTTTTCAATTGACACCGTGCATTTGCCAAAGGACTGTTCATGGGTTTCATCCTTGGCAAGAGGAGCACAACAAGAGGAAAGAACATTAGCAAAAATCGTCTCTTGTTATTTTTGGTTTTAAGGAGTACTCATTAATCATACTTGTTATTTCCTACCAACTCTGACCAGTTTGAGAAATAGTCAAAGGATGAGGCTGGAATAAAAAGTTAGGCAAAGCCAGATTGGAGAACAGTTTATTTCCCAGAAAGCTGAATCAAGTTTATGACTACTTCCCTTGACAGAAGTTTCTTCTCTAGTACTTCCCTGAGTAGATCAAAGTGTTGGTGAAATTTCTTGCTGAGTAGATTTGCCAGATGGGTAAAATAGGAGGTCTCTGATAACTGGAGAAATTTCATAGAAAGAGGCCTGTCATGGGGCAGGAGTGAGGGGGCAGAGGAGATATATCAAATATCCTAGAGGTACTTTAGTTGGCTTGAGCAACCATCAGAATCACTGGAAAATTGAATGGATATTTAATCCATCCCATCCTTTTTATCCAATTTGGTCATTTTCACCCATAATAAGAATGACAGGGGAAGAACTGGAATCATATGACTGGGAGTCTTCTCCTAGCCCCCACATGGAGAGGACTGACATCCAGATTCCCTGACTCCTGTCTGTTTTCTTCCCACAGGCAAAGTCTTTCTCCTTAATCAAACTTCAGTTAGCTCCTCTGAGCCTTCTTCTCAACTAGGCCTGGACCGTGGGCTTCAGTGTCAATCCTATTCGGCCTGTTGGGCCTACATCACTCAGTTTTAGCAAGAATCCTGCTAAGTCAGTTTAGAGTATCTCCTACACTTGATATCTGCTACCCCCTCAATATCAAATTCTTCATTTCTCACCATCCCCCAATGATATCTGATCACTCTGACCTTCCTTTAGCAAAAATTCTGTTAACTAAGTTTAGCAAGAATTCCCTCTGCCCTTGATGTCACCTCTTAATAATTTTATTATCCACTGAACATCCTCCCCTCACAACCTATTCTTTGGTTATAAATCTCCAGTGGTCCTTGTTATCTTTGTAATATTGAGCTGAGTTTTTACTAAGGTCTATTTTCCTCTATTGCAGTTGTTCCTGAATAAAATCTATTTTTACCATTTTAACTACTGACCAGCTCTAGTTTTCTGTAACACCAGTACCTCAAGCATCTCTATCAGCTATCCAGTGGGAAGAGATAAGAACATTCCTCATCTATCTATGAAGTAGATAATTACTGGCTTCACTCCTCTGAGGAGGTCTGTAAGAATCTGGAAGTGAAGAAGTGAAGATAGGTTTCTATGCAAAGTCTCAATGTTGATTAAAAAAAAAAAAAACAAAACTGCAAGATTGGGACTACAGATATTGTTAGAACCAGAACTGTAAAGAATTGCAAAACCTTGCAATTTTCCATAGCCCCTTCAAACCTCAAGAGTAAAGGAAATTTAATGGCCCAGGGATATATATTTCCTCAGGAACTTGGAACAGCAGAGTTACCATGTCTTCATGTTGGCATTTTGGATTATTAGTTTTGGCTAATTTAAGGTTATTAAATCCCCTTGAGCTTCAAGGAGGGCAAAAAAAAAATATCATGAATGTAAACGATGTTAATACAGTAATAATAATGTGGATTCCCTGGGGATTAGGAGGAAATATTTCAAATTCCAGAAACAAAAAGGTTCTTGAAACAGATTCTTCTTTATGGTGTGTGTGGTGGGGGGAGTGTTGTAACAAAACTGTCTGCTGCCATTCAATTTTCTTGTTCCAATGCTATTACTACATCCTTCAGGAGTTTTCTCTGCTACCACTCATTCATTGCTCCCTAAAAACCATAATTTACTACGTTATTACAAAAGACTGGGAGAGGTTTGCATCCTTGGACAGGAAAACCACTCTTGTCTCATTACGTTTGCTGTCTCTGGACCCACACATATCATCTTTCCCCATTCTTAAGAAAATGGAAAGTGTTTGAGTGAGGTAAAGACCCTGATTTCCTGGGTTTCTCTAGATTTTTTTTTCTGGTTATAAATCAACCTTAAAAAATTAATCCAGCATTTGAAATTATCTATGACATTACTATTGATTCCATCCCATTTTATAAAGGTTACTTTTTCTCCAGCCTAGACATCCTAAAGACCTTCTGAGTAGCTACAATGGGGATAGAAATGAAAATCAAAATAAACTATCCTAAACTACAAATGTTAGAAAAGAAAAATTACATTAGTTTTTTCATGATTCAAATCAAAGGCAAGTTATTTTTCTTAAAAACAAAACTGAATATGAACTTATGTATATTTCAAATTTATAGACTGTAATAGATAATTTTTGAACCAAAATGACAATATCACTGAATATACATCTATGGAAAATGACCCTGACCCCTCCCCACACATTTCCCCACATCCCCATCCCCAGCCAGAATCCTCTAAACAACAGGAAAGAGGACCAGAGCACAAGCATCTTGTCTTTGGTCAACCATCACATTTATTCCCTTAGTTGGTTAAATTTTTAGAGTTTTTTGACCCTCGGTATCTGTTTCTTATCATGGCTTCCATCGGTACTTTCCCCAGTGCCTAAGGCTTCTTTTGGTTTCCACTGTCTCTACTCTCACTCAGGAATTTCCTTAAAGTTTTGTTAAATAATACACTGGGCTAAACATCAGGACCTAATATGGTTGGGTTTTCCTTGCTTTGTGAGACAATAGCATCATTTCTCAGATTCTACAGCTATCTAGTTGATCCTTACAGAAGTCCCGTTGAATACTGAAATGAGAACAAACATTCTTCCTCTATGTGCAATGGAAAAGGCATGAATAAATAACTCTGGTCTAAGACCTCACAACCTAATTATCCAACTCTCTCCTAGATGAAACTTCAGATAGGGCCTTGACCTTTCTGATTCCTTTCAGTCACAAGAACAGACTCATTTAAATGATTAAGTAGTCTCATCTTAATATTATCATTTCGGTTTTTGTCCAATGGAATACTCCTTCATTCCCCCAGCTTGGGGTCACTTTAGGGTTAAAAGCTTTGCCCACTCTACTCCCTGAAGCTGGTATTGGTTTGGAGTTTGTGTGGATAGGTGGGTGAGGGGTTAGTTGAAATTTGGGGTGTTGGCTCTTACTTCATGTGCCAGTTCATAGGTGCACTGGAGATCCAAGTGGGAAACTCGGACCGCAGTTCCCTTAGTCTGGCAGCACTTCTTCAGACTGGCCATCCCAAGTCCTTTAGTATCTGGACTTCCAGATGTTCACACCTATCCGACCCAAGGGTTCAGAACCTCCAGAGGTGCTGCATGGGCTTGGATGTATTTTATAAGCTCCCAAGTGATTCTAATTGAGACAGAACAGGAACCCCTCTTAGGGGCCTGTGGGACCCCCAAGCATGGAAATAAAGAAAAATCTTGGGTTCCTCTAAGTGAAATTCCAGGCACCTAGCTGGACCTGAGAAGTAAATGAGCAACTTAATAAGCTAAAAGGTAACAATAGCTTAAAACAACAGCCAAGGAAGTTAAGGTCACAAGATGTTTGGTTCTCCTGTAGAAACTAAAGGTAACATCTTAACACATGTCCCTGAATTGTCTTTGAAAACCTGGATTCCCCACTGAAGAGATCCACTGGTACACAGACCTCAGATGACGGGGAAACTGAGGACAGAACTCTGACCACCGTTCTTTGTTCTAGATTTCTTTCTAAGGGGCCTGGAGGAGGTCATGCCCACCAGCCAGAGCTAACTTTTTTTCCTGTTAACCCCCAATTTTTAGACAAAGCTTCACTTCCTTATCCAATTGCACATCAGAAAATCTTTGAGTCTACTTCTGGCCTGCGGGCTCCCACTTCAAGAGGTCAAACCAACATGCAGCCTCCATGTGTTGATGTATGACTTTGCCTATAACCTCTACCTCCACTCCATTAAAAGCCCTTACCTGTAAGCCATTGAGATCAGCTCTTAAGAATAAACTGCCTAATTCTTGCTTGGTGCCCTGTGATAAATGCCTCGCCTTCTGTCATGGCAGTCCTGATATCAGGGTTTAGTTTTGCTCTGCCAAGCAGGCTGACCCCAGTTCACTTTGGTAACACAGTCTGCAGTCATACCTGAGATCTATGGGTTTAAACCCAACTCAGGAAACATTTTTTATTCTCATCCTTTACACTCCACCCTTGTACATCAAAAAGCAAAATCACTCTATGTTCTATGATATGGTCATCTCTAAACTACCTACTATATATGTATATATTTTCTGAGACACGGTCTTGCTCTGTCTCCTGGGCTGGAATGCAGTGGTGCAATTGTAGCTCACTACAGCTTTGAAATTCTGGGCTCAAGGGAGCGTCCTCCCTCAGTCTCCTGAGTAGCTGGGACTGTGGGTGCATGCCACCATGCCCAGGTAATTTCTTCTTTTCTTTTCGTTTTCTGTTTTTTTTTTTTTTTTTTTTCAGTAGAAACTAGGTCTCGCTGTGTTTCCCAAGCTTATCTACAAAAATTTTTATTACTAAAGAGAGCACCAAACATCTCATTCTAAAATATCTGCATTCAGGTTAATAATAATCTCTCCACCTTCCCATAAAAAGGTGCATGTTTGAAGTCTGTGTTTGAATATTTAAAGTGCTGGTTTGGGTAGCTTTTTCTAAAACAAATGAACAGTCACTTTTAGAGAAAGTAAATTGCTTGCAACTTTGAACCCCCCGCCTTACTCTGACTTTCATTGCTTCAATTCGCTTTAACTTAGTAATATTTTTTTGAAGTTATGAGACCTGGCATCAGTGAAGGTACTCCAAAACCAATAAATTTATCTCTGGGTGCAGCAAAAATAGCATAGTCTTCTATCCATTAAGCAGAAGTGAAGCTGCATTATTTTGGCTCCTATAAAGCAAAGGAAGACAAAGAGAAATCATCAGTTTAATTGTAAGTCACGGGGACACCATATTTGACCAAGAAGCAATATCTACATGTTTTACCCAATAAAAATGAACACCAGAGGAACTGTGACTCCTTTAAATCAAATGTCCTTACAGATGATCTTCTTAACTGGTAAAAGTAATTAAGATTAATTGTCTAGGAATACCAAGGGAACTTCACATGCTATAATAGCCTTTCTGCAAATGTCAAAAGAGTGTAAGCCTTGTTTCATTTAATAGAGTGTTCTCTAAAAGGTATTTTGAATGTGGGGTAAGTGCTCTGTTAAAGGCAGCATCTATGCTATTTATTTTCCCAAATGTGGGTTTACAAAGAGCATTTAAAATACCTCAAATAAAGGCAAAGGATTAAATATTCTCATATACAGACAGACATGGTTCTTTCCATATGGTACTAGGCTACATACGATTTCAAAAAGCATATAAATCGCTGGCAAGTTTGAAAATTGATTGATCATAACTTCATAGACAGATGAACTGAACTGTTCAAACACTCTTTTTGGTAAAAACCTCAAATGAGAATTCATGATTTGTCAAATTGGGATAGTCCTAGAAAAGAAAATACAATCAGAGATCCACTGAGTTCAAAAACAAAATGGAAACTGTGGTTCCTGGCAGAAACAACTCAAGCCGGATATATTTTATAGAGCAAATCAAGATCTGGCTTCTGGTTAAGATGACATCAACATAAAAAGAATGAATCTAGGTCATGGGATGTCTGAGCAGGCCTTGTCAAAGGAATGCAGGCCACAGAACACCCGGCCATTTATTGCATTAAGGCAGCTCATAATATGACATCTCTTTCCCAAGCTTTCCTTCCTCTCTGTCTTCTTATTATAACCCCTCTTTTGCCGACAGACATTTGCTTTTTTGCAAGAATAAAATTTGACGTTTTCAGAGATGGTTGGGTTTAAGCCTAAAGTCATGCCAAACCCAACCCAGAATGCACTTCCTCATCACAAAGTGATGCTTTTTTTCTCTGTGAGCCAAACTGCTCATTGATCCACAAAGAAACCAGCCAAGTATTTCATAACATTTTTGAAAAATGCTGTACATTACCAGGTGCTTTTATGACAACAAGAGACCTAAACAATGAACTAATCTTTCTGAATCCATGAGCCTGTAGAGCCAGCTCAATCTGCAGTGGCAACCTGTAGATTTCGGACAAAGGCTAATTGTTCTTCTTTTGTGATCATTGTGCATCTTGTTATTTGATATGAGATATTATTTGACAGCTGTCTTTTATTTCTCTAACTGTGTACAATGGAATAGCTTATTTCTGAAAATGAAGAGAGCTGAATGGTCTCAGGTGGTCCACCTCAATTTCAAGAATTAGGAAGGATTGGATGAATTCCTCTGTAAAGGCTCAAGGTGACCATGCTTTCCAGGCCCTCCTTTTCAGGTTCTTGTATGGTTGAGCATAATTCTTTTTGTTTTTCCTGATCTGGTCAATGCTGAGAGCATAATTCTTTGTGGTTTTTCACAAGTATGGTATTCAGCCCTTCCAGCCACACACAACGCATTGATGAGTAAGGAATCCTCTCCTGGCTGAGTAATCAAAAAGGGGAAAAAACTAACATAAGGCAAAATGGAAAGTTGTTTTCAGTTCGGAAAATGTGGATATGAAATAGAGAGTAATTCCACATACTGGCATTTACCTTGTGCCCGTGCCAGGCACAGGCTTTTAAGTGTTTTATATGCATTATTTATTTTAGTTCATAAAACACTGATGAGGTAGGCACTTTCTTTCCATATTTTATAGATGAGAAAAATGAAGTATAGGGGATTATGCTCTCTAGCATGATATTCGAGGTCATACTAGTGAGGAATGGAGCCAACAATTTTTTTTTTTTTAGAGACAAGTTCTCGCTTTGTCACCCAGGCTGGAGTGTAGTGGCATGTCCATAGCTCACTGCAGCCTTGGACTCTTAGGCTCAAGCAATCTTCCCAACTCAGCCTTTTGAGTAGCTAGGACTACAGGTGCATGCCGTCACGGCTGGCTAACATTTACTTTTTGTAGAGATGGGGTCTCTCTGTGTTGCCCAGGCTGGTCTCAAACTCACGGCCTCAAGTAATCCTGCCACAGCCTCCCAAAGCACTGGAATACAGGAATGATCCACTGAGCCTGGTCAATTATTACTTGAATCCAAAATTGAAGAGTTTAAAAATGATGCCCATTTGATTATTATAGAATAACTAATTCAGAGAGTTCTATAATTGGTAACTTTGGTTTATTAGTAAAATTTTCAAAATATTACATCTGTCACATAGGTTGGTCATGGGGACAAAATAAGATAAAGCAAAATTTAAACTTCTGTCTTAATAAATAGTAGCTATCAGCATTTTAGAAGCAATAACACAATTGTCTCTGAAAGGGAAAGAGTGACAGTATCATTGTCGAGACTATTGTTACTGAAAGCTTAGATTTTTCATTCGTTCCTTTAAATACACATGACTCTGGCTGGGCACAGTGGCTCACGCCTGTAATCCCGGCACTTTGGGAGGCCAAGGCGGATAGAGCACAAGGTCAAGAGATCAAGACCATCCTGGCCAACATGGTGAAACCCCGTCTCTACTAAAAATACAAAAATTAGCTGGGCATGGTGGCAGGCGCCTGTAGTCCCAGCTACTCGGGAAGCTGAGGCAGGAGAACCACTTGAAACTGGGAGGTGGAGGTTGCGGTGAGCCGAGATTGGACAACTGCACTCCAGCCTGGTGACAGAGTGAGACTTTGTCTCAAACAAAAAGAAAGAAACAAACAAAAAACAGACAAATGACTCCATGGAGAGTATTACCTTTGCAAAGATGAGTGAAACACCACTGTCAGCAGAGGGACAGAGAAGGAAAAACTAACAAAAGTTTGCATTTAATTACAAATTACAAAGTGCTAGGAAAGACAAGAATTGAACCATGCAAGCATCCTAGTGCTTTTGTGAAAAACAGCGTAGGGAACCTTCCACAGGCCCAGCGAATGTAACCCAGTACTGTTTATCTTCATGGACCCTACTTGTGTACTTGCTCTGTAGAAGTGACTGGATCTGTTTGCCTTCACAACAAAAGACCAATCATATTATATTTTACTTGTTGCTTAGAATGGCTAGGGGCCTCGTCATTTGATCTTTCTGTGCAAACTAGAGTAAACTTATGAACCTGAGTTAATCTTCTCCTTTTGACAGTCATACACTTCAACTTCTTTTTCTCCCTCTAATTGTCATTGACAGCTCAGAGATCTTAATCTCTATCAGAAGTTGGAAATTGGTATTTTGAAGCAAGGGTGTGTTCCTGCTGTCCATTAAAATGTAAAGGTTTTGAAACCTTTTATTCTCCTGATGATTTGTACAGGGTTGTTTTTAGGTTTTCTGATGAGTCCTGCATGAACTGGAAAATTAACTATGTGTAGTAATATATACACTGATACACTAGGCTTTTATATTATTCTTATCATGAAACAAAGAAATGAAATGCAATAATAGATGATTCACAGATTATAATAAATACAATGAATGCATATTAGTCCCTGCATCAGACTTCCTATTGAAAGAAAAAGGAACGGTGCATCTATGGTTTGAATATAGTCGCTTCAAAATTCAGGTGTTGCCAATATAACAGTATTAGGAGGTGAAGCCTTTCAGAGATGTTTAAGCCAAGAGGTCTGCTCCTTCATTTGGGGATTAAGGGCCTTTTAAAAGAGGCTTCACACAACATTTGGCTAGATTGCCCTTCTGCCTTCTTCCATGTGAGGAGGTAGCAAGAAGGCCCTCACTAAACCAAATTCTGGTGCCTTGATTTTGGACTTTCCAAATTCCAGAATGGTGAGAAATCAATTTCTGTTCTTTATAAATTACCCAGTCTCAGGTATTTTTGTTGGAGTAGCACAAAACAGACTAAGACAGATGTCTTCCGAAAAATTATTTCTCTGTTATTTTTTTCTAAACACCCATCCTTGAGTATGAACAAGAAGTTGATCCGATGCTATCTTAATAAGTTTTAAAATAGCCAATATCAGTATTCACTAGAAGATCCAATTTTATCTTGTAGCAGAATGCCTTACACCCTAAATATAGGCTCAGTACCAAATCAAGGACCAACGGTTGTTCAGAAATTCTATGATGGGCTGAAAGGGGCCGCTTAGGAACTACAATTGGATGGCAGGGGATCTTGAGACTTTTCTTGAAGCCGTGTTCATAATCACACCATTTTTATTTAACTATACGTTTGTTGGGATAGATGGGGTGGCACAGACTAAGATTACTGAATTTACTGTCCAGCCTAAATTACTTCATAATAACGTAACTCTCAGGGGTTCAATGTGTGGCAGAAGTTACAAATGAGAGGTTGCAGAGAATGTTATCACACCACTCTGACACTGATATTCTCAGGTAATGTGTGCTTTCATGTGGAATGGCACCAGAGTTATATGAAGAAGAATGCTGTAAACTGTAACAAGTTTGTGCAGACAGAATAAGGAAATTGGGACAGAGTTGAAGTCTTGCCAGAAGCATAGGATCTGATTTTCCTTGGCTTTGCTGGACCCTGCCAAGTGTAATGTATCAAGAATGTTCAGTAATATATTTTTATTTCTTTTTTGAGATAAGTTATTGTGAGTTCTTCTTTTCTTTTTTCTTCTTCTTCTCCTTCTCCTTCTCCTTCTTCTTGAGATGGAGTCTCACTCTGTCACCCAGGCTGCAGTGTAATGGCATGATCGTGGCTCACTGAAACCTCTGCCTCCCTGGTTCAAGTGATTCTCCTAGCCTTCTGAGTAGCTGGGATTACAAGCAGCCGCCACCATGCCCGGCTAAGTTTTGTATTTTTTGTAGAGACGCGTTTCACCCATGTTGGTCAGGCTGGTCTCAAACTCCTGACCTCATCATCCACCCGCCTCAGCTTCCCAAAGTGCTGAGTTTATAGGCATGAGCCACTGTGCCCGGCCAAAATAAGTTATTGTGA